TATATATATATATATATATATATATATATATAAACACACCACGACCTTCAATACAGAGAGTAGAGAATTAGAAAGAAAAAAAACTAAAATAAGCCGATTTTTTCTTTCCTTCTATGTTTTTTTTTCTTGTTTTCTATATTTTCTCTTCCCTTTTCTTTTTTATTTTTTTTACTTTTTTTTTTATTTTTATTTTTTACTTTCCTTCTTTTTTTTTTTTCTCTTTGCCCCCTTTTTTATTCTTTTTCTTTTCTTTTTCTTTTTTTCTCCTCCATGTTTTCTCCCACTACTACTACAGACAAAGAAACAGACAGACACGCACACACACACACACACAATCTCAGTCATTCATTCATTCATACTTCCTCCATTCACATACTCGGAAAAAAAAAGAAAACACAAACATCCAATAACAACACCATTGCTGAATGAATACAGAAAAGAACGAGGAATTTAAAAGGAAAAAAAAAAGAGAAGAAATGATAGTACACCCCCATACAGATAGATCTACACTAATATATATATATATATATATATATATATACACAGATAGAGACAAACTTCCTCCATAAACAACATATAAAATAAATACAACCATATATATGTATATACATATATTCTTCTATTTCTGGGAAGCACACCCTCACTCCTTGATTTTTCCTTTTTTTTTTTTTATTTCTTCCTTTTCTTTCCGTTGACTTTCATGTTGACCATTACTTTTTTTTTCTTTTTTTTTCTTTCCGCCCTGTGGGGCTCTTTGCAAGAACTGCTTTTCTTCTTCTTTTTTTTCCCTTTAACAATAAACAAATGAACAAACACAGACAGAAACAGACATACATTTACTTTTTCTTCTCTCATTCACTATTCACAATGCAATTAAGCAACAAACAAACAAACAAACAAAAACCGTGCAGAGAAACAAGAGATGGGCAACTCACACATTCACATTACACTAAAAGACCAAAAATGAGCCCTTAAATCATGCTCCTTCACGCACACTATCCTTTTTCCATGCAAAATGCTGCAAACAACATTTAAACCCAAGAAACCACAAATAATAGACAGCAAACACCTCAATATATATATATATATATATATATATACTGAGAGAGAAAACAAAAACAAAAAAAAAAAAAAAAAAAACAGAAAGAGCACAAGAGTAGGAGAGAGAAAAAAAAGGTTTTTCGGTCGCCCATACACCTTTGTATACCTATTTCTTTCCTTTTTTTTTTTTTTCAAAAACAAACAAGAGAAAAACAACATTTACAGGGTTTGTACAAGAAAAAAAAAAAAAAAAAAAATGATGTCCA